GCACAATCTTTAATTTTAAATTCTGGTCTTTAAAATGAGTTTGTAAATAATCAGCTACCATGTTCTATCATCAAGTTGTTTTATATTTTAATTTTCTGGAAGACAATTTTGTTTTACAATGTAAACCCATAATAAAGTAACTTCTATATTTAAAAAAAAAGTCTCAGTATTTTAGAAAAGACAAAACACTCCCTTATAATATTCATCAATGTACATTTATTTTTTTATTGAGGAAACCATAATACAAAATTACAGCAATCATGTGTCCTTTTACATACAATGTCATTAAAGCAAACTCTAAACCACAGTTTGTAAAGTATTCAATTTACCTCCAGTCCAAGCTGCATCTCCCTAAGACACTGTTCCCATCACAGTAGCCATTTTAAGCCAATCTTCTTTTTACACACGGGTAGTTTCTGTAGAGAACACTTTTCTCAGGACGAAAATGCATCGAGCATGCATAAGAAAAAATATATATATGTGCAAGTACATTTAAGAGTTTCTATAGGGGTATAAATGAAGAAAATAAAACCCTGGGATTTATTTGCTTCTTAGAAACACCAATGTAAAAAATCCCTCAGAAGTTTATACTGTGGCAATAAAACTCAAGTGACTAAGCAAAAAAATAAGGTTATTTTCAGAGTCAAAATTATCTTTTAGGTATTGTTAAAATACATTTTAAAACGAGGCAGAATTTTCAAGAACTAAAAATAAGACATCCTCATTGATTACTAATTTCTATACCCCTATTCTAGAGAACAGACAACTTTGCACATAGAACTGATTCTCTTGGCAGAGTATTCACACAAATGAAATGTTATCCCTTCTGCGTATATTCCTCTTTCTCTCTTAAGGTACTCTGCTACTCCTACCCAGACCCACCCTTCTGAATTAACTACCAAGGTATTTGTCTAAGGATATATTTTACAATGTCTATAAACAACTAGTATTAAATGACTAGTTCTAACCATTTGTTAAAAATAAAAGCATACTTCTCATTTCTAAAAGAAACATCAAAACATAAGAATTCTAAGTATCACACTAACATATCTTAAAAAAAAAAACATTTTCAAAATTTTAAGTGCAAAATAAAATAAGTCAGTTCCATTTCAATCTAAACTAAACATTGTTTCTACCACTCCTAACAACACCCATTGTATTCAAACCAACTGGCTCACCTTTTCTGCTTTGCATTAATTTCAAGGTTAAGATTAGCGCCATTAAAAAAATGCTTGCAGTATTAGTGAAGGCTTATGGTAATGACAAAAATTTCTCATAAGACAGAAACAATGCCCCAATATCTATTAGCATTCATCTGTATTTTCTTTCGTAAAAATGCAAGCTACAGCTAACCCAAACTTGACAATCTCTGAAAGTTCAAAGAGCTCCTTTATATTATCTTAACATACCTATCATTGACTATCAAACACACACACACGCACGCACGCACGCACGCACACACACACACAAATGTGGTGCAATAACTACATAACTTATGAAACTTAACAGTTCACGGAACATTTAAGAGCAAGTGAATAGCACTTTAAAATGAAGTGATCAAAAGCAGGTACATTATACCCTATACCATATTATGTATGGGAATACATTTCATATTTCTCAATTATGATTCGCCAATTTTACCTTCTACATTGAGCCCTTCTATGGTCCATGCTCATCGGCTCACCAATGGCATACACTCAAAGGATTCCTCTTTATGGGTAACTATCTCAGGACCTGATTTTATGAGCTATGATTTGGTGCTTGCAGCATCTTCAGCACTGTGTGTGAAAATGAAGGCAGTATTTTTGAATATTTTTCTTTGTTGTAGAGATAAGCAGGAGTTTTAAAAGGATCAGCACATTTTAGAAATAGAATAAACAAAACTGATATGACGCTGCTTTAAAACATTCATCTTAACTCAAAATATGTACCAGTCAAAATCATCAATAAGAACACACAAACATTTTAAACTGGCAAAAAAAAAAAAAAAAAAAAAATGAAATAAATTCAGCGTCAGTTATTAAAATATTATAAATCAGAAAAATACTGGTTGCTATACAGATTATGCAAGGTTATTTGCTAAACAGTTACCATTTCACTGATGCACATGCCTTTTATCAAAACATACTGCCAGTTTTCTTTATAATTTTTTTCCTTTTCAGTGTATATAAGTTATAAAACCCAAACTGTCTAAAAGGAGACATAATAAAACTCTCACCCATAATGGCCTTCAGTGTATATAAAAGTTATAAAACCCAAACTGTCTAAAAAGGAGACATAATAAAACTCTCACCCATAATGGCCTTACTGAATTGCTCTAGTTCAAGAATAAGAAAAAAACAAAGACTCAATAGCTTTGGAGGGCAAAGAAAATGTCCTATAAATCTTAAAAAGATTGTGAAGGCTGTTGAACTTTCTGACCAAGTGACTTCCTAAATCTTAAAATCTATGTAATTGCCTTTTCTTAAATGTAACAATTTTTCTATGGGAAAAGATTACAAAGGGTGATGTAGTTCAATTACAGCAGCAATCTACTCATCATTCTTTCTTGTTTAATTAAAATAAAAACATTACCTAGAAATGTAAACAGCTGTTTGAACAACTTACAGACTTTCCACTGAAATAGTAGCATAAATAACAAGATACATTTTGGGGAAGCAGTAGCAGATTGCTTTTGAATACACAACCACAAAAACCTCACAGGGACAACATTAATGTACTGAAATATTTATTTATATATGTCCTTAGGTTGTGCTTACCTGTTGCTTTTTGCAGCAGAACCTAAGGTGGAAGGTCTGGGAAGGCACTGTGAAGCATAAATAATTGCACTGTTTGCAATTAATAAAGATTTTAAAGTTTAAATGAATCAAAATCAACAGCCTCCAATTTGTGAGTTATGATATTGAATCTAACTGAACTATCTCTTCAGTTTAATTAATAAATGTACCACTTTCCTAAAGGTCATCTATAAAACAGTATCATGCAAAATACTGAAATTGTTCATGTCAATACCCTACTCTTAAAGATAACAGATAACTAACTCCCTAAGGATTAAACTTCAAACTAGAGCTACATATCCATATCTACATAAGGGTAATGGAAGTCACTCTAACTTCTATAAAACAATCAAAAACATTTCAAAATATCCACAATGAACTGTACTGCTAATTTTCTACCCTAGGTAATCTCAACATTTATGTTCTTGTACATCTTCCTTTACAGTATATTCAAAACAACAAATGGTGCTCCCTACCAATGAAAGAACATATTTATGAAATGGTGTTAAAACTGCTACATTGCTTAATATATTTGCAAACTGAAAACCACTTCTGTCTGATACATTTCAAGTCTTTCACTATTAATATACAAAATATGCATATATTATACTGAAAAACAATATATTTTAGGAGCACCAATGAGTAATACTATTCAATTTTGTTAATGATCAGTTTTCTTTAGCTATAGCTAAAGCATATAAAAAATACTTACCCATTGAGCTCACTTAAAAAAAAAGACCTATGTATTATTCTATGTTAAATTAAGAAGCATTTATGGTTTTCCAAGATATCAGCACTGTATTCCAACATAATATTCACACAAAGTATGGCATTTACATTATGTGGAACATTGACAAAAAGATACTGTTGCAGTTCATCAATTTGTCATTCTGATGTACTTACAGTGCAATGCTCCTTGAAGGAACACAATCAAGGATGATACACAGCACAGTCCTCCTCACCCCTACAGAGCTAGTTCTATACTGGCTGGATCAAACCTGCACTTCAACAGACAATGGCAAGACAGACTGTATTTGCATGTAGTCTAATATATTAATATGCAAAGAGCCAACAAATATGCAGAGTAAAACAATGGATTTCAACAAAATATCAAAACTTCAGCATGAGTGTCATAGAGTAATAAAATGATTTCAAGTACATAAAAAAATTAAGTTGATTCAATGACTGGACTTGTGCATTTACAAAACAAAGCTTATCTATACTGCAAAAAGAAAAAAAAGGAAAAGAGCTTGAACATTTCCATATCTCAATAATGTTTCAATGGCAGATGCACTGTAACTATTATACTTTTTTTGCAAACTATTCACTTTTCTACCCTTAATTTAAAAAGAAACACACTAATATCGTATACATTGAAAGAGTTGCTTCACATGAAAAAAACTGTTCTTATCAGACTACTCATATTCACTATCTGAAAACTGTTTAAAGTTAGTTATGCTGAAACAGTCTTGGAAATCAAGTAATTATCAAATTAAGAACAGAAAGGTTAACTGTTATAGCAGCAGTACAGGTCTGAAACAGTGGTCATGTATAAAAGGAAATTTCACTGTTAATTCAATGGAAGTATGCCAAAAGATCATTGTATACACATGCAGTTTTTAATCAAACAGAAGGAAAAAAAAAAAAAAGAAGATATCAGGATTACTTGTGCTGAAACAGCCAAATACAATAAATGGAAAAGATCCTCCAATCTATTACTATACTGCAAGGGGAAAAAAAAAACATGCCAGTGTTTAAAAATTCAATTAATATTTCATGGGGAAAGCTTATATATTTGTGTATATGTATCTTAATTTATCATTGCTAAGAAATTATGAATTCTTTACCCACATATCCAACTTACCGACACAGGAGGTTTCATATCATTTATTGTAAAGCACAAAACAGGCATTTTAAAAGTGAAAGTATACATTGAAAAAGTACATTTATATCACAAAGCATTGACCACATAATAGTTGCAAATACATTTGCTGGAATGTGTACATCTACACTAAATACTAAAAACAAACCAATTTTCATTTCTACACAGAAATATTAACCTCCTATCAGTAGTGATAGATATTTTGTACATTTTCAAAAGAAAAAAAAAACTACTATTTTAAACCAAAAACAAAATTAAGATCTTCATCAAGTCGTCTGCATCCATATATTTAACAAAGGTATTTTTCCCCCACACAATGAAGCAAATACTGTATTGTCCACTTCTTATTATTGGCCCTGTGCAGAAGAGATACATAAGAAATACACAAAAAGTTAAAGAAAATCCTTTAAATGGAGCTAACTCAGGAGTGAATCCTTTAAGAAAGAAAAACTGGTTAATATAAATGGTGGTGGCTTCTTGCATGATTTGCAAATCCCTGGGGGAAAAAAATTTATTTTTAAAATTAAAGGCATTATAGAAATGTTCAGCACTCAGATGCCATAAAGCATTATAAAAAAAACAAAGCCAAAAGCAACCCAACAGTACATCATAGTCCTTCATTTAGTTATATTTTGCCATATAAAAATTAAAAAGGCAAACATAATCAATCCCAAACAAAATAGTAAACATGCAGAAAACATGACTGGAGTTTTTAACACATCAACAAATTTATTATACCTGAGGTGCTGGAGGATGCTGTGGCATTCCCTGGGGACTTGTCTGGGCATAGTAGGCTGCTTGTTGTCTATAGTATTCAGCCCAGGCTGCACTGTAATCTGGCTGACCACCTGGTGGAGCACCAGTAGGAGCAGGAACAGCTTGACCTTTTAGAAAACAGAACTTTGTGTAACCACAATTGAAAGTCCAAAAGAATCCCATTTCTAATGAAGACAATACCATGCTTCTTATAATATTCCTCCCAAGCCTTCGAATAAACCTGTGTCTGCCCTTGTTGATCTAATCCCCCTTTTTAATACAAAACTATATCCACTATAAGTATAGCTTATAAAGACAAAAGCAGAGGATCTGAATTGCTCGTTTAAGTTTTCACCAGTGTCAGAAAACTACTCTGTAATAATAAAAAAATTAGAATGCTCTTTATTTTCTTTTTGCATTATGTCATCACTATTAATAAAAAATAAAAACAAACCCATCCATATAATTTAATTAAGGTAAAGATATAAGCATGATGTTGGTTCAATTAAAGAATTTATAAACTATTAATGTTTCAAATTTTGTTTTAAAAAGTGCCTCATGGCCAACTATAATTTTTTTTTTAAATGCTTCATGTAAATAGTCTATGGTTCCCTGGCAGTGACTGGTGGGCGGGGCCACTATTTTTTGATCTCTCATTCATGTGTATCTGTTACAGTACATATTTTAAATAAAATGCAAAGACTATTATTTTAAGACCTGCCCAAAGATTTATTTCCTGATTAGTAACCCATAAACTACATATATGTATAAATATATATGTGTACATGTATATAAAGACTAATCTATACCTTTTTAATGACATGTTTAAAGTTTTAATACATGTGTTCAAATTACAACACAATTTTATTATAAATAACCTGATGGACATAAAGAACAATTACCAACGAGGTTCTAAGCAACAAGATCAATGAAACACAAAACTCAAGAGCCTTCATGAGCAGTTATTTTACTAGGCAAGGCGACTTTTCTGAATTTAAGAGATTAAAGAGACACAACAATCAAATATAATGCACGAACCTTAAACAGGCTCTGGATTAAGACAAAACCCCCCCACACTTAAATATGGTCTTTGTATTGCTACTACTGAAAAAATATCAATTTCAGGGAATCGAACCAGTGATACCTGGTTCATGGGCCAACGCTTAACCATTGAGAAACTCCCGCAGGGCTGCTGCTATTGAAATAATTTATTTAGAGCTACCAGCCTGCAACTTACTCTGAAAATGTGTCAGGCACATAAAACATGTATATACACAAAGTACATATGTCAAACTTAAAAAAAAAAGAGGTGATTCTGGGTAGAAAAATATAAATATGGGTATTTGCTTTACTATTTTTCCAATTTTTCTAACGGTATAAACATTTTTTAAAAATAAAAGGTCAGGGAGAAAGAAAACGTGTGTTTACCTATTTAGTTCCTTTATTGGAACAGCATTTTTTAATATGTAATTCAATTGGCTTTATAAAATTACAGCTAAACAAAAAATACTGGAGCACATACATACAGAAAGCTGTTTTTATGTTTGCTAGATGTGATTCATTTTGCCCAGCTGAAAATAGGGAAAGACTCTTCCTATCTGATCTACTTATGATTTGGCTGTCCACTAGCCTCTTGTGCTTCTCTGCCCTTTTTAGGACATGTCCTTAACTTGCTCCCTTTTATTCTTTCCCTCAGTTCAAAAACAGTGTTGATGCCAGATAGTTTAGTTTATACTTTAACAGACCACCACTTAATATTCACATATAGCTTTACAATGTATAGAGTTTGACTTTAATTTCATCTCATTCAAGAAGTAAGACTTGCTCTACAGTTCACATGTAACATTTTATTATAGCCCAATTGCCAGCCTCGCTTGAATAGATTTTTTTCATACTTGGTTATCTCTATATATTAGCATCCTTCCCACAACCACTCTCTCCCCATTTTAGGCTAACGCTTACAAGTCCACCATATCAGTGCTTAACATTATAAGAGCCTTCAAGTCAAACTTTTCTTCCAAAATGCCTTCACTTACCATCTTCAAAATAGGAATTGCTTGTCTCTACTTTGAAAACCTGTTTGTTCACAGGGTATTTACTTGAAGTTTCCTTCATTCGAGCTTCAAAAATATCCAACCCCCCAGATTGCTCTTTGCTTGTATGACTTAAAATTGCCTTCTATAACCCTCTAGAATCTTGTCTTTAAAAAGAATTCCTCTCCTAAATTCTGTTAATCCCAGGAAACAGAATTTTTTCACAAAACAAATTTAAAAACTTAACCTGCATGTTTCAAAAGAGGTTTATTTACCAAGAAGCAAATAATGACAAATTTATAGTGTTAGTGGAGATTTCCTGTTCTTGACAGGAAAAGCTGAAATTAGGCTTTAAAAGCTACAATAGCCTGCTTCATTTGGTGAAGAGGGCACTGATTGGGAATCAGAACAACCAAGTTCCCAGGAAACCCTTGTTCTGCCACTGGAAGAGTAAAACTTAGCCTCTCCAAATAAGGGAGTTAGATTTGGAGGTAAAGATCTTTGACTGATACTTTATTACACCTTTCTTTCCTTCCATTTAAAAATCTCAAAGATTGAACTGTATTATTCTAATGCTTTAAGGTCTCTTATTTGTGCTTATTCTAAATAGATCTTAAGGACAAGTAATGTACCTTGTAATTAGATTAGTTAAGCAACCAATCATTTACAAAAAGAACTATGATAGGAAAAAAAAAATTGACCTTGTATCATTAAAAACCACACTTAACATTATTTCCTTTAAGATAACATGAAATCACTCAACCACCAGCCCACCTTGGTCATAAAATTAACAGCTGACCATTATGCTACAGAAAAACACACAACTGAAAAGAAGGTGAAGGAAGGGGTTAAGGAAAATCTTCAGTCAAATGTGGTGTTATTTAATTATTTTTATTTATCATCTTTTTCCACAAAGGATTCAAGACAGTTCAACATACTTTTTCTAAAATTAGAATTTAATAGAGTAGTAAGTAGGGAAAAGGTAGAAAATGAAAAATTAAAAGAAAGGCAAAGTGAAGTATCTACCCTTCATAAAAATTTGAATGGTATTAAGACCTCGCAGATTATATTCAACATACCCATTCATTTTGGGCAAGCAAAATGTAAAATGGTTAAATAGCAAATTTACTAATGATCATGTTGCAAAGAAAGAATAAAATACAATAAAGCAGAAATCATACTCATTCCCCAGTAATTACTTAAGTCTACTAATAGGCCTTTGTTTTTACCCACTTTTAATAATACAGGGAACAGCCCTGGCTGGATAGCTCAGTTGGTTGGAGCATCATCCCATACACCAAAAGGTTGTGGGTTCGATTCCCAGTCAGGGTACATACCTAGGTTGCTGTTCAATCCCCAGACAGGCCATGTATAGGAAGCAACTGATCAATGTTTCTCCCACATTGATTTTTCTCTTTCTCTCTCCTTTCCTCCCTCTCTAAAAACCAATAAAACATATCCTCTGGTGAAGATTACAAAAAAAAAAATTATATATATATATGAAACATCTCTGGCATATTACCCATTGTGAAAACACAAATTGGACCTAATGATTTTTAACCTTTACATGCTTAAATCTTTAAAATGGTGAAGCTTTTTCATAAAAATTAAGGTGACCTCGCCGAAACCGGTTTGGCTCAATGGATAGAGCATCAGCCTGCGGACTGAAAGGTCCCAGGTTCGATTCCGGTCAAGGGCATGTACCTGGGTTGTGGGCACATCCCCAGTAGGAGATATGCAGGAGGCAGCTGATCGATGTTTCTCTCTCATCGATGTTTCTAACTCTCTATCTCTCTCCCTTCCACTCTGTAAAAAATCAATAAAATATATTTAAAAAAAAAAAATTAAGGTGACCAGAGGTCCTGACCACTATGTTGTCACAAAATGATTTCCAGTTATTCTAAACTAGAGGCCCGGTGCACAAAAATTTGTGCACTCGGGGGGCGGGGGGAGGGGGGGTCCCCCAGTCTGGGACCCCTCGGGAGATAACGACCTGCTGGCTTAGGCCTGCTTCCGGGTGGCAGAGGGCAGGCCCAATTCCTAAGTGCAGCCCCT